TTTATATTATTTTTGTTAATTTTATAATGTTAAACTATAATAATAACAAATAATTGTTGAGAAGTGATTATTGAGAACTGCTTATCAAAGTTTGCATTGTTGTCAGGCCCCGCCCCCGCCCCGCCCCCGTCAATGGCCTCCCGCTTTACCAATATTAAAATCTGGTCACCTTAATGATAAAGAGTAAACATACTTGACTTATTAAGAATTCAGGCAATGGATACCAAAAGCTCCAATTCCTTTATAATAAGAGAAGAAAGGGCAATAAGACAAACATGGTGATAATAACTGAGCATTTACTAAATGCCAGGAAGTGCCAGGAATGCTAAGTGTCCTGTCCTGCTCAAATCGTCACATTAACCCAATGAGATGGCTATCGTCTGTTTTTCACACGAAGAAACTGGTTGTCAGAGATGTGAAGCGACCTGCCCAAGGTTACAGACCAGTAAAGACTTGAACCCAGACCTTTCTAAGACCACACTCGCACTTCCGTTAACCTGGCTTTTGTAGTCACCGAGGGCGGTGGGCTCGCACCAAGCCAAGGGCCCCAACGGGCATAACCCGCTTGCTCCGCCGCCCTCGCGTTAGCCGGGCCCCGCCCTCCGGCCTCGCCCGCGGCGCCTTCCCTCCCAGCCCCCGCGGGCCACGCCCACCGCCCGGAGCCAGGTGCCTCCGCCGGCGCCGCTCTGGCCCCGCCCCTCCCGCCCCGCCCCGCCCCCGGGCCTCGCAGTCGCCGCGGACGCAGTTCTTGCGCATGGAGTCGCCATTTTGCTCCTAGAGACGCTGAGTGGAGAGCTGGCTCTTTCTTCCTTCGGCAGCGGAGGCTGCGGCAGGGCCGGGGCTGGGGTCGGGGCCAGGTAGGCGGGCGGGAGCCGGTGGCGAGTGGCGGCGCGGACTGGCGGGCTCCGGCATTGCGGGGCGCAGGTGCACAGGGCGGTGGAGCCGAACGGGTCGGGGTCCCGGGCTGTGACTGGGGCGGGGTCCCCCGCGTCCTCCGGCCTCGCGCCCGCAGCCGCCGCCCCCTCCCTCCTCTCGCGGCGGGGCCGGGGGGTCTGGGCCTGGTGCGCTGCCCCAGGACTCCCTCCAGGCGCTTTGGGGAGTCAGGTCCTAATTATGGGACCTACTGCTGAGCAGCGACCCAGCCATCTCCCATCCGTCATCTGACACGAGTCTTTGCTCGTCTTGGGCTTTTCTCTTACACCTCTCCACAAGGGGTGATTTAATTGCAGTTTGAACTTAACCTCAGCAGAGACTGGGGGAGGACTGCAATTTGGTGTTTAAGTATCATCCTACTTTTAAAATGTTCCCCCAATATGTTATATTGATAAGGACTTTTAAAAAATGCGAATGTTGGCTCAATTCGGATGTTTAGCTTTTGTAAGGAATTTGAAAATGCAGAATCAGGCTTTGGGCCCAAGGAAGTGTGATCTCTAGTGTTTAAAAAATTTAAATGAACAAATAGAAAAAATCCACCCACGTTATTGAACCTCACGAAAACATACCCTTCTTGTTGACATTACTTTCCTGCCCTGCTCTTAGCGTTATTATCCAGTTGTCATCAGAGCTTAACACTAGGCCCTTCTATAGCCTAGTGCTGAATATTTATTATATCGAATGCGTATTCTGAGTCTTATTTAATTGCCCCGCTGTGGAATCTTTGCACATGTCCGTTGTGCTTACTCTTAAAAACCTTGTATTGACCATCAATGAACAATTCAGCCTTTTTCTTCTTTGCTTGGGATAATTTCCAAGTGTCCATACTGAATCAAACTTCTTTATTTGGCGCTTGGTATGTGTATAAATTGCTTCCCAAACACGGCATGTGGACAACAGACATTTCCCCAAATCTAGATAGTTGTCCTTTTCTGCTCCCTCTCTGGGGAGTTCAGCGCGGTGCCAAGTCATTTTCTTTGTGCGTTGAGAGACAGGCTGTGCAGCCTATTGTATCATACAGCAGACTGCACCCATCAGCTAGTGTGTCTGCTGTGTGGAGGCTGTGTGCAGCCCTGAGTTTCTACTCTTAACCTCACTTCCTGTCTAAAATGGATGTCACTGTAGTCCCTGCTTCACTGGGTTGTCAACCATGAGAAAAATGTTCCAGTGGAGAGATGACCCCTCTCACCTGGGGTCACACAGGACTGGAAGAACAATTCCGTTAGATTTGCCCTTCAGATCCTCCTCAATATTGATAGAAAAAAAGGAAATTTTCCTGAAGTGGGGTATGTCACTAGCATAAATAATAATTTTTGTACTTTCATGATGCCTTTTAGTTTACAAACGACTTTCAGTTTGGTTTGTTAATCGTTGCAATTCAGTGAGGTCAGGCTACAATTGACAAACCTTTGTTGCGTCTCTACCCTGTGTCAGGTGCTTTTTTAGGCACTGGGTAAACTCCAGAGAACGTACAGTTTAAAAGAACAGTGAACAAATCTCTGTTGTCAGGTCCTTAAATTCTGATGGTGGGAAGCTTTTTTACAAAGCTTCTGTCTCTTTGGTCTGAAAGGTAAAGGCCGAGGCCCAGTAATGCCAAGTGATGCCTGGTGACTGAAAGTCAAACCCAAGTCTTCCTGCTCCTAGCCTGGTGATTTAATTGCTTTTCTTTTCTTTAGGGACACAGTCTTTCTCTGTTGCCCAGGCTGGAGTACAGTGGTGTGATAAAGCTCACTGTAGCTTGAAACTCCTTGATCCCCCTTCTTCAGCCTCCCAAGCAGGTGGGCCTCCAGCCAGTTTTAAGTAGAAGTTATTGACACAGTGGATGCTTTATAGCCGTGGCTTTCAACCTTTTTTATATCACAGCACACTTGAACCTATAGTTAAACTTCCGGGGCACATTTAAATTATGTCGATAAAAAAACAGTAAATGAATATACTTACCATGCTTTGAACTTCTTGCAGAAATAATCAAAAATTTTCATGGCACACTTGTTGAAAATCACTGCTTTAGAGGAAAACAACGCACTTTAATCTGAGCCTTCCTCATCTGAATGCGGATGAGTGGTGGTTTTTTTGTTTTTTTTTTTTTGCTGGGTTTGAACCCACCATCTTAGGCATATGGGGCTGGCGCTCTACGCCTTTGAGCCACAGGCACAGCCCCAACAGATGAGTGGTTTTGAAATGAATGTCTGTCTGTCCAGAGCAGCTGAGCTCCTTCAGGGTGGTTCCTCTCTCAGGAAACTTAATGAATTGTCACATTCAAAGACGACTGTGATTCACTTTTTAAAGGTGCTGAGATTTGTTTGAAAAGGATATTGTTTCATTCATGTTAAATAATTTTCACACATTCTAGAGTAAATTTAGAATAAACATAGAAGCAACTGAACCTCATGGAAAAAATACGGGAATATTCTCTTTTCATTTTACACTAAAACCTTGTAATGAGCCTCTTGCCAGCCCCATTCTGGATAGTCTTTAAAACTCTTCTTTTTTGAAGCTTAGTAAATAACACAACCTGAGTTTGCAGCAGGAGAAAGGAGAACTAAAACTAGAAACAACCCTTATGTTGGAATAACTTGTGAAATGACTAGTTACAAACATGGCTATATTAATAGTTCATTTTTAAGCGGATGCTCCCCAGCACCCCTACCCATGTCATTTTGAGAGTGGGCTTAGGTTAGAATTTTGTTAGAGAAGCCTGGAAACCTCAGAGGCCACAGTCAGGGAGTTGCAGGGCATTTAAGTCAGTGGTTCTCAACCTGTGGGTCGTGACCCCTTTGGAAGTTGATAGACCCTTACCCCTTTCATGGGGATTGCCTAAGACCATTGGAAAACACATATTTCCGATGGTTTTAGGAACCAAGACACCACTCGTGTGGGGGTCACCACAGCATGAACTGTATTAAAGGGTCGTGGCATTAGGAAGGTTGAGAACCACTGATTTAAATGATGAAGGATAAGGAAAGACGTAAAGAAATCCCTGGGAAAAAGACACAAATGCAGCCTGTCTTGAGATAGGTTGGACGGAGGCTGTCCTTTAGAAAAGAAATGTAATGTATCCTATAGACCTTCAAGGAAAGGACCAGAACCAGTGGGTGTAGTCTTCAGGGAGCAGAATGTCAGCCTGTTCTGAGGAAGAATTTGGAATGATGGGCTCTCAGTGGATGTGGGAATCACTGTTACAGCTTCTGTGGAACGGTACCTTGACAGGAGTCCTGCAGATGGTTTTCTAAGAGGTTTAGGAGAAATAGGCTGAATTACTTCTGAGATCTCTTCCTACCCCTAAAATACTTGGATTCTAAGTGTTCCATCTCGTATCAACACTGTTCTGTTTTAAGGAGCTTCTTATTTAAAGGTTAGGGGATATGAAAACATGCCACCCCCTCTGGTCCCCTGCATATTACTGTATCACTGTACTGGTTTGGTAGATAACCCAGATATGAAGAGTCGAAGAGTCGATTTAAACGTAGAATGTCCTATATGCAGGATACCGTGTTAAGAGCCTTGCAGAAATTTACAGTAACCTGTGAGGTCAGTTTTTGCATTCGTGTCGATGAAGGAACTGAGGCTAAGGAATTTATGCAAGACCTTGCTGTGATTTAAGGGGAAGCAGGAGCCAGGATACAAACTTGAGTTTGACTCCAAAGCCTGTATGTACAGCTACAGAATTGGTTTTGGTTTTGTTTCCATTCCTGGACCTGAGACACCCTCTGTTCTAAGAATGGGCCTTAGATGTCAACTAAGACTCCTACCTCTGAATGTTGATGGTTAGAATGTATTATTTCTTCTGTTATACCAGCTACTCTGACCTGATGCTACACTCTCCTGTAAAGCAGGGGTCCGCAGTTTTTTTTCTATAAAGGACTAAGTGAAGTGATAAATAGGCTTTGTGGGCCATACTGATTGCTTTTTGTTTTGTTTTCAAAAGTTTTTGTTTATTTAAAAAAATTTTTCAGAGACAGGGTCTCTCTTGCTCAAGCTGCTGGAGTACAATAGTGCAACCATAGCTTACTGCAGCCTTGAACTTCGGGACTCAAGCGATCCTCCTGGCTTAATCTGCTAAGTAGCTGGGACTAAGGAAGACATGCTACCTTGCCCAACTCATACTTAGTGTTATCAAATAAATATTTCAGGCTCGTGGGCTATATCAATGCCATTATTATATCTAGAAACGATTTGTAAACAAGGAATTGTGGCTGTGTTTTACATAACCAGGGCTTGGGAGGACCTGATTTGGCCTGTGGGCTCTGATTTGCTGATCTGTACTTAAGCCTACCAAAAGGCACCAGTGGTCCTCCTTGGTCACAGCTGGCATAGGTTTCTGTTTGTAATTTTTCTGTAAATTTAAAATAGATGGTGTTGTAGTCTGCCATATTTCCTGTTGTGAAATCCTGGGTTGTGCTAGCTGGAATGCCCCTTGGGAGGTACCCTGTGGGAAGTGTGCCCTCCTCACCTGCTGGGGGACTGAACTGCAGCTACCTGTGACCTGGTGGTCCCACTGTACATTCGCAAAGGTCTCTTGAGACCTGGCTGAAAGTGCATATCCACATTGGAAGACTAGACAGCACTCAGAGCAGACTATGTCTAGATCTTCTAACTCAACTTGCTAAAATAGATTGTTTATTGAAAAAGCAAATCATAGATCTGTATGGTGGTAGCTTTTTGTATTAGAAACACTGTATGATGTATGTTATTTTTTGTGCACATGATTTTTATGGCGGTCATGTGAATACACAAAAGAATAAAAGGCTAGAAGGTCAATACCAAACTAATGAGAATCCTTGCTTGGGGAGATGGGTGGGATGAGCCTGGGGTTGGGGCTGATGACTTTAGCCTTAACTATTATGTTTCAGGTTTTTATAGGGAGTATGTTTTTGTGTTTTACTGGTGTACTTAAAATTTAAGAATAACGAAAAAGATAGCTTAGTTTCAGCCCATTTATGATTTCCACAATTTTCCCGGCAACTGAGGAGATGGAGTGGGCTTGCTGGGAAGGGCCCTGCCCTCACAGCGTGCCCCAAGGTTGCTACTCTGCCCCGTCCTACAGCCCTGCTGCAGATGAGGACGCAGCTCAGAGTGGAGGGGATGGGAACATTCGTTCTCATGACTTCTAGGCCAGTGTCCCTTTTATTTGTGGCCTGTCGCCTATCATTTGGGTGGTCACTAAGCATTCCTTATTATCCAGTTCTAGGTAAATAAAATGAAGATGACAAGGTCAATGTTAGACATTCAGATGACAAGGGACCACTGAGAGGCCAGGAGAAGTTTGTGTGGTAGACAGGATTACAGGAAAAGCTGGATATAGATGGGTCATTTATTCTTTGTTTAAGAATCAATCAGTCCATGTCCTTGCTAATGGCTCTGCCATCTTTCTGTGTGTTAATCCAGGAGGAATTTTGTTGTCAAAGAATAAAAGGAGGTTGTCCATAATTGACTTTAAGCAGCAAACAGTAAAACACTGAGCTCTTCAGCTCCACCTTTCTTGTAAGTTTATTATTTATTCCCAGTGGTTATGAAAACTAATTTAATCATGTGATAGTATATTTCCATAAATTTGGAATCCTAAAGTACAAATGAATTCTGTTTGTCCATATATATCTCTCTAATGTAAAAGACACCATTATGTTGGAAACTAATTTCCTTCAGCCAAAGTCATTTGCTATTAAAAAAAAATCCAAAATCCATCCAGGTCTATTTCATATATTATGGCAGTTCTTAAATTCGTATTGTATCCTTTTAGGCTCTGAGAATCGGAAAACCAAGAAGGTTTTGATGTTTTGTGTGACGCCACCTGAATTAGAAACCAAGATGAACATAACCAAAGGAGGTCTGGTGTTGTTTTCAGCAAATTCTAATTCATCGTGTATGGAGCTTTCAAAGAAGATTGCCGAGTGAGTTATTGTACTATTGAAATCTGCATTAAGTGATATTTTACACTTGATGGTCTGTGTTAGCTCTGTATATCAAGGGCTAACCTTTTTGTGTACTGTCACACCTCCTTGTATTTATCCATTTATTGAGAGCCTCATAAGGGCCAGGGATTGTGTTCGGTGCTACATATGTACAGAATTATTGGAGTACTCATGTAAAGAACACTGAAGTGTATACTGTATGGAAACAGTTTATAGTTCAGTGTAGTTTTAGATGCTAAATACTGAACCTCTGCTATGTATTTGGTCTTGATCTAGATGTTGGGGAGAAATACGGAGAATCCTCAAGAGCCTGCTCCTTATGAAATTTACATTTTAGTATGGGAGCCAGACAGAAGGCAAGTCAGCAAAATAAGATCATTTCAGGTGGTACTAAATGCTATGAAGAAAACAGTGTGAGAGTAGTGATGGGGCAGTTGTCCTGCTTTAGCTCGGGTGCTTAGGTGCTTTGTAAACTAATGGGACTGGGCTTAAGAAACATGAGTGTGGCTTGGCGCCTGTGGCTCAAGTGGTTAAGGCACCAGCCACATACACCTAAGGTGGTGGGTTCAAATCCAGCCTGGGCCCGCCAAACAACAATGATGGCTGCAAAAAAAAAATAGCCAGGCATTGTGGTGGGCACCTGTGGTCCCAGCTATTTGGGAGGCTGAGGCAGGAGACTCGGCTTGAGCCTAGGAGTTGGAGGTTGCTGTGAGTTGTGATGCCACAGCACTCTACCAGGGGGATAGCTTGAGGCTCTGTCTCACAAAAAAAGAAACATGAATGAGCCACCAAGTGAAAGTCTAGGGTAGAGCCTTCCCGCCAGGCTTCAGGGCCCCGTGGTGCATGCAGGAGAGGCATTCGTGAGTCTCAGGAGTGTGTGCTGGAGTGTAGAGAGCACGAGGAAGACGGCTGGGGAGGCAGGCCAAGACTAGCTGTGTGGGCCTTCCTGGGTTGACATGGGGTGGGGGTGAAGGGGGCAAATAATAGACTGACATATACTTTTATACTCACTTTAAATTTTATAGTAAGAATAACTTTATTTTACTGTTAACAATTTGCACATCTCGTTAAGTAGTAATGATGCTGGATCTGTTCTGTCACTGTTTCAGCCTTCCCCCCCTTTCTCTTCTCTAGGCGGCTGGGGGTAGAGATGGGCAAAGTGCAGGTTTACCAGGAACCTAACAGAGGTGAGCTATCTTGGACATGAATAATATTGATCTCTCTGTGAGCTGTGTGTCATACTGGCTGCGTCCTGCATCCTTGGCTATTGAAGTGATTTGATTCAGTCATCCAGTTTTGTTAGCAAGGAGTTAGGCAGGAAAGGTAGAAGAGGATGGGGTTTTAGCTCTCACTAATGTCACCTAGATACTTAACCCTGGTGCACATCACATCTGGAGGCTTGAATTTCAGTTCTTAGACCATATTCAATAAAAACTTCGTAAATAAAAAGAGCAAATAATCTCATTTATCACTGGGCAAAAGACATGAACAGAACCTTCTCTGAAGAAGACAGATGAATGGCCAAGAAACACAGGAAAAAATGCTCATCATCCCTAAGTATCAGAGAAATGCAAATCAAGACTACCTTGATGTATCAACCTAACCTCAGTGAAAATGGCCCACATCACAGAGTCCCAAAGCTGCAGATGCTGGTGTGGTTATGGTGAGAAGGGAACTCTTTTGCACTATTGGTGGGATTGTAGACTAATACAGCCTCTTTGGAAAGAAGTATGGTGAATCCTCAAAGAGCTAAAAGTAGACCTTAAATTTGATCCTGCAATCCCATTACTAGTCATCTACCACAAAGAACAAAATTTTACCGTAAGGACATTTGTACTAGATTGTTTATTGCAGCTCAGTTCACAGTTGCCAAGATGTGGAATCAACCCATGTGCCCATCAATCCCTGAATGGATTAAGAAACTGTGGTATATGTATACTATGGAATGCTATTGAGCTATAAAAAAAGATGGAGACTTTACATCTTTGGATTAACCTGGATGGAGTTGAAGAACATCCTCCTTAGTAAAGTATCTTAAGAATGGAAAAGCAAGTATCCGATGTACTCAATACTAACATGAAAGCAGTAGAGAACGAATACGCGCCCCGTGACAGAAAAACACAATTAAATTCAAGTGAAGGGGAGGGGAGGAAGGCAGAGGATTGGTGAGCTCTCACTTAACACGCACTATGCAGGGGTATGTGGCCTACCTCCTGGGTTAAGGGCTCAACTACAACTTGGATTTTACCTAACAAATGCAAACAATGTAACCTAATCATTTGTAACTTCATATTAATCTGAAATTTTAAAAGAAAAAGGATAAAAGTACTCTATAAGTATGAACCAGCTGTCAGCTGAATGAAAGCATTAGCTTGACCATTGATTGAATTGGGACCACAGTTTTAGGTGATTATTCTTTACCTCCACCTAAGCTGCCATGGGTTAAACTTTGTGAAATCTTATTAGGAACTACTTTCTGCTAATTAATATAATTACATAATCATCCCAAGTTGTAGGGCAGCACCTGTAGCTCATTGGGTAGGGTGCCAGCCACATACACCAATGCTGGCGGTTGGAACCTGGTTGGCTGGGCCAGCTAAAACAATGACAACTGCAACAAAGAAATAGCCAGGCGTGGGTGGTGCCTGTGGCTCAAGGAGTAGGGCGCCAGCCCCTTATCTGGAGGTGACGGGTTCAAACCCAGCCCCTGCCAAAAAAAATAAAAAAATAGCCAGGCATTGTGGCGGGCGCCTATAGTCCCAGCTACTTGGGAGGCTGAAGCAAGAGAACGCTTAAACCCAAGAGTCTGAGGTGGTTGTGAGCTGTGATGCCACGGCATTCTACCAAGGGCAACATACAAGTTGTAAAGAAATTTTATTTAATCTTTGTAATTTCTTTAGAAATGGTGAATATTTGAAATTATTCTAACAGGAGTGATGGACAGCTTGCATCGGCTTGAGACTCATACACCTTACCCTGGATAAGTTATTTAACCTTTCTACCCTGTAAATAATTAGGGCTGTTTTGAGGATTAAGTGGAAAAATTTGTGTGCTTAACGCATTTCTTGGCACATGAGGGGTGCACAGTAAACACTTGTTCTCATTCCTTTTCTAATATAGGATTTTGTCAAGTATTTAAATACTGTAGAGCTTGTTGCGGCTTTGATGAAATAGCATGAATTCATTGTTCCTGTGCTCATCTCTGTAGCCTCCTTCCTGTCTCCTACAGCCCCCATGTAGCTTCAGTAGGGGAAAAAGTTAATTGAAGAAATTACGCAGGCAGAGTTTGGGAAAGGCTCTGCCTCTAGTGGAATTGGCTGCTGTGCTTGGGAGG